TTCCTCTTTACTTCAATACGAAAAGTATCCGGGTTGAATCTTGAGTGAGTGTGGAAGTACGTATGGGCATCTCGGGTACAAGTTTTGAGGTTCTATTGCCTCAGAGAAATAAAATGTCCTCATGGAAAAATCTTAAGACTTCTCTTCTGAGCTGTTTCAGTATTTATCTTCTACTACCATCCCATTTTATAAAATTAGTATTTATTTTCCTTTCACTTTTAAGCAGATTATGAATCTCCTCCAGTTCCTCAGAATCTGGACAGGAACCAAGAAAGTTACAGGCATTTTTCGCTCTGGATGTCAACGACGAGATGCTGGAACAGGAACGGAGGTCTTGACTCTAGCATTGTCAATGAGCCAGGAGCTCAGTTAAGGAAGCATTTCTCACCTTCTCCTAAGGTTGATGGAATTAAAACCGAAAGCAGCACCAAGTGTTTGCAAGACTGTGGGTTATAAGACACAACATCACATTTGGAGGGGTTTACTAAGTATTTCTAGATTCTCTACAAACATTTTATTTTTGCGTATGTGCTCTAGCAGTGATTCGGCAATGCCATCTAGTGTTCCATCATACATAAACAAAATGATGAGTTCACTGGAGAGAATTCATGAGACATCCCGAGTGACTAGTCAAAAAACAGGGATAAGAAGAAAATTATTGAAGCCAAGAAACTGTCCACTTCAAAGAAGACCACTCCCCAGGCACCACCAACGATGTCCCAAACTTCCTTCCCAGCTCTGCCTGGATCAAGTGGGACTCCTCAGGTCTCTACCAATGGTTCCAATGTTTGGAATTCTGCCCCTCTTGGAGCGCCCCAATCTAACCCTCACCTACAACATACACAAACGCAACAACAAGGTTCAGTATCATCTATGTCTCAGGTATCCACAGCCGGGGATATGACGAGAGCACAACTAATGTATATGATGGCCAAAGACATAGCAGGTGGTGACATTCAACTCTGCTCTCAGGTTTTAAATGATCTGTTAATGGCTAATGGAATCACTCCCATCACTATCCCAGAAAATGTGAAGGCTATTATGACCCAGCCTTCTCATAACAAGAAGTATGTACCCTACTCTACATCTAAAAATAAGCCTAAGTCATCCCTGGCCCAGGGATCGCTCACCTCGTATACCCAGGTTGTCAACTCCCCTCAACCCGATAAATCAACACCTGAACATAACAATGCCCCAGAAATTGGTGCCTACTCTCCCGCTATTGAAGCTGATCCTGTTGAACAGGAACTTTCCCAGGATAACTCACCTTGCCTACCTAATTTTCCCTTGGAGCCTCCACAGTCTCCCATTAACTCTCACGAGCCTCTGCTTCCTGTAACTGGGAATATCATACCTCCGTTTTCTAATGATGACTAACGATTCTAATGAATCTGTTAATATTACCACCTCTAGTGAAGATGATGGCATTTTTAATACACAAGCAACTACGCAGAAGTTCCCTCCTCCCCTTGACGAGTCCAGCAGGAATAGTGTGGACACCACACATGACACTACTTGCAGGCGTTCAGACCGCAGTACACGAGCGAAGTGCAAGAAATAATGGGGATTACAATTTTCCAACTTAATGTACATTTCTTTAATAACCATTACCTTCTTGAGGTTGAACTACATAATTACAATCCCGATGTTATACTTTTGAACGAGACAGCTGCAAGAGTTGATCAACATATTAAATTACGTGGTTACTGTACTGTGGAGAAATCGAGAGGACCCTTTAGTGGTGTAGCCATCTTAGTTAAATTAGGCTATACATTTAAAAATATTCATGTTGATGAAGATAACATTCTTGCAATAGAAATGACAACGTCTCATGGACAACTAGTGATAGGAACTGGATATTTTCCCCCGAGACAACAATATATAGCGTCAATTCCTCTACATAGGATGTTAAGCAGAAATATTCCAACAATTCTAGCCCTCTTCAACTGTGGAGCTGGTATTCCACTGGGTGACTTAAAAGGAAAACAACTCTTTAATATCATGACAGCTAGAAACTTGTCATTTCAAGGCCCATTCTTTAAATCGTACATTGGACCTCATCCAGGGACACCAGATATAGTACTGACAAACAGAGACTGTGACATCTTTCACTGTCGTATATCTCCTGGTGGAAATGTAGGATCTGACCATATCCCTGTTATAATACAACTACAAACTTCTCCATTTAGAATACCTGTACCTCCTAAACCCAATCTTAACACCCTAGGATTTAAACCCCTTCAGGGCATTTCTGGGTGACGATGAAATTGTGTCATTGGAAAATCTACCTTCCACTGCAATTGATGATGCAATCAGGTCCCTGCATAATTGAATAATTGAAGCTACTAATGCAACTTGTCAATTAGCTTCCACAAAGATTTACCAACAATATAAACCTACTAGGGAAATTAGAGACAATTTAAGAAATTATCAAGCAGAATGTCGAAGGCATCTTCAAACGCGACAACACCAGCAGCTACACTGCACCGATTAAGGCAAGAATTAATTAACATGATTAATCATCACAAACGGGACTTTTGGAAAATGCTAGTTCTTCAAGCTAATCAGTACAAACGTGAACCAGCAAAATTTTGGAGTAAGATCCGACAACTTTTAGGGGCAAAGCACAAGGCTTCTAACTACCTAGTTCATACCTTCACTGATGAGGATGATGAAGATGTGAAATTAAACTTGACGATCCACAGGACCAGGCTAATTTGATGGGTGATGTATGGGAGAAAATTCTCTCCCACAATAACAGTCGTCAATTTAACAATAATCATTATCAGTTGGTAAATGAATGGAGAGATGAGAACTTGGATGATCTACAACCACTACCTTCCATCGATACTTCAACTCTTGAAGATACCCACCCGCTTACTAGACCTATTACATTACTAGAGATGAGTCAGGTTTTTGGAAGAATGCGCAATAGAGCCCCTGGCCTCTCTGGAATAACAATGAAACAAATAAAGTTCCTCCCCAGAAATTGTAAACAGTCTTTGGTAAATATCTTTAATGCCATCTTGGCCTCAGGACATTTTCCAGTGGTTTTTAAGACTGCTAGGATGATCTTTCTTGCTAAGCCCAATAAAGACATCCACCAACCTGGGAACTATAGACCTATATCTTTACTTGAAGTCACTGGAAAAGTTCTTGAGAAAGTCATTTCCAACAGATTGAACTACTATATGGAGTTTAATCACTTTTTTTACTGAAAAACAATTTGGCTTTAGAACACATAGAGGTACCAATCATGCAATAAATGTTATTTTCGATACTGTAGCAAGTCTAAAACATCAGGGGAATCTTGCCTTAATTGCCACCAGAGATGTTCATAAAGCTTTTGATAGCTTATGGCATAATGGCCTTATATACAAACTCATTGACCTACCAGACCATAACTGGACTTTCCTCAGAGTAATATATAATTTCTTAACTCAAAGAAAATCATTCCCACCTTTCATGGCAGGTCGACAGAGCCTTTTATACCGACGGCTGGTGTCCCACAAGGTTCTTGTCTCAGTCCATTCTGTTCAACATTTATGTGAATGGGCCTTCCTCAACCAGAGTTTAGTGATACGATTGTGACACAGTCTGCAGATGATGTTATTCATGTCATCTCATCAACTCCGGTAACAGGAAAATACAAGTATGAGAGAGTCATAGAAAAAATGAATATTGAACTTCGTCGAACATCTAATTGGGAAAAGAAGTGGAGAATTACGACTAATCCTGACAAGGTCCTTGTTAGCACGATAGGATGTTTTGCATCAACAATTGAAGATAAAGGAGGTATCTCCATCAGAGGTACACCTGTAGCCATTAGAAACCCTAACAAGATTTTGGGATACGAAATAGACAGGCTGCTCCACTCAACATCTCATGTAACTAAAAAGATCAACATAGCCAAAGCCGGTCTTAGCAGTCTCTTTCGATTCAATCAAGCCCCTCAACATGTCAAAAAACATCTGTATAAAATGTTAATAAGACCTATACTCGAATACCCTTGTGTCCCAATGTCATTAACAACAAAGACAAATATGCTACGGTTACAAAGGGTCCAGAATAGAGCTCTTCGCTTCATTACCGATACCAGGAGGAGAGACAGTAAAAATGGCAGATTTACACATACAACAAGATATTACTTCCATAAATGTACGCCTTGACACCCTAAAAAAGAAACAACTCTATACAATGCAAGAACTATACATGCCAGATAGAGAACATCCTATACAAGTGGTAAATACCACGGATTATATCATCAATACTCCTCCTCACAGGACTCAAAGAATGACTCTCCCACAGAGGGTCCGTCGTTTTATACATAAAGATGATTACCCTCGACCCATGATATTGAGCAACCTCCCTGATGAAGAAGATTGGGTAACACCAGAACCCTTCTATGTATACTGAGAACATCATCGCCCCCAATTAGGGAGACATCTTATATAACAATCTAATGTAAAAATTATGCTATTTACTATGGCTGGACACCACCTGTAAGAAGCCATTGTCACGGAATTCTATAAACTGGCCAGAAAATTATTGCCTTCATTGTCGCATAAAAATCCGTTGTGCAATCGCAAAAAAAAAAGAAAAAAAAAAAAAAGAAGAAAAAAGGAAATGCAACTTGTATAATTACTACCAATTCAGAGTCATGTACTTATATTCTGTTATATCTATGTGACTCTGATGGGTTAGTCTTATACCGCTTAAAGAATATCTTATCATTTCACGTACACTTTTTAAATTACACCAAAGTGGTTGGGCCACTTACCTTTTATATCCTACCTCTCTCCCCTCTCCCACCCTTTTCCAAAATTTCTATCCTTACCCATCCTTCTTCCTTACCCATCTCACCAAAGCTCTGGTCTGGATACCGAATACCGAATACCGGGTAAGAAGTTACATTACTGAAGACCACATGAGTTAACTTCATCTTCAACGTACAGAAATGTTCATATATCATCTTAATACGAAGAGATGAATACATATAAGAGAGAGAAATGTCGATGGAAGACTCAGAGTCCATCATTTCTAAGTTGAAATAATGGATAAAATCCATAGTTTAGCAGTGTTATATATACATAATCAAACACACATACATAAACACACACACACACACTAGTGAAGGAGCGAACCCAGTATATATATATATGTATATATATATATATATATATATATATATATATTTTATATATATATATATATAATATATATATATATAATATACATTTATATAGATTATATTTATATAATATATATATATATATATATACATATATGTATTATATATATATATATATATATATATTATATATATATTATATATATATATAATATATTTAAAATATATATATAATATAAATATATGCGTGTGTGTGTAAAACAATGAAACTACGAAACAAGTGGTTTTGAATCATTTACTAAACAGCAGCAGGCCAGGATTCGACCCCATGACACATTGTCCTGCCTCAAGAGACCACACAATGTACATGTCACTTTATCCACTCAGCCATCGATCCTATAAACAACATGAGCCTAGCGAACTAGGCTTGTTTCATGTTGCGAGGACACTCGTGGTAGTGGTATGCTCAAGGATTAATTTCAGCCTCCTGTTTGAGTAGCCGCTTCAACAAGCAGTCTACATAGCAATGAAATCACGAAACAAGTGGTTCTGAATCATTTACCAAACTGCGGTAGGCCAGGGTTCGACCCCAAGAAACGTTGTCCCACGTCAAGAGACCACACAATGTACATGTCACCTTATCCACTCAGCCATCGAGCCTACAAATCCTACCAAATTTCCTGCGCAGTTTGGGAAATGATTCATAACCACTTGTTTCGTGGTTTCATTGCTATATAGACTGCTTGTTGAGAAAGGTATTCAAACAGAAGGAGACTGATATTAATCCTTGAGCATACCACTGCCACGAGTGTCCTCGCAACATGAAACAAGCCTGGTTCGCTAGGCTCGTGTTGTTTGTAGGATCAATGGCTAAGTGGATAAGGTGACATGTACACTGTGTGGTGTCTTGAGGCGGGACAATCTGTTGTGGGTCATATATATATATATATATATATATATATATATATATATATATATATATATATATATATATATATATATATATATATATATATATATTCTTTCTTTCAATAAACCGGCCGTATCCCACCAAGGCAGGGTGGCCCAGAAAGAAAAACAAGTTTCTCTTTTTAAATTTAGCAATTTTACAGGAGAAGGAGTTACTAGCCCCTTGCTCCTGGCATTTTAGTCGCCTCTTACACTACTTACACTTAGGTCACACTACACATACAAGCATATATATAATGTAGGGAGGTACCACCTCTAGAACTGTCCTGAGGACCCTCATCCTCAGAGAAAAGAATAAACTTGCTTCAGGGAAAACTCAAGGTTCTCCCTGAAGCTGTTTGAAAATTTTCTTCTACCGCTCCCTATATTTAATATATATTTTATTTAAAGAAAAAGTACATTGACAGAAATACAATAGAGGGTAAAACAACATAGATAACAACTCAGAGCTACATTTCGAATACTTCGTCCAGCTCCCCGGCGGTGGGCTGCGTGTCCAGAATTGCATTTTCCCTCTGGATCGCAATACTGAGTCTCTGAAAGAGGAATCTGGCCGCCCTGTGGTTCTTGGTTTCTATGATGAGTTTTTCACTCAGCTCTTTGAGGAACTTTAGAGCACACTTGCCGCATGCTCCAAGGATCTCCGACCCTATTGGGATGAAGTTATAGCAAGGGGGAAGGCCTTCATATTTGCGGGTCTTTTGGGTATCCCTGTGGCTGGCAGCTCCACCCCCTTCAGCTACGGAGTATGGAAGTAGGTGGCTACCAATGAGGTGGCACAGGTGTAGTCCCAGGCAATCTGCTTTCCATCCTTCCAGGATTGCATAGTTGCTCCATCAGGACGTTTTTGACTTCCGTCAGACTTCTGCAATTGGGGTTCCCGTTGGGCTGGGCAATGGGCTGTGGTGAGGCTTCTCTTTATGATGTCACTGAGCTCCTTACGTCTGGCATACTTCCCTTCTGGTGTGTGACACACAAGACCATGAAGTCCGAATTGATCAGCAGTAGCCCTACCACAAATACACCTATGTTCGGTGAGGATGGGGGCGACTAGGTGAAGAGCAACGCCAATTCGAATGGCCTGTGGGTCGATTCGAGTGCTCAGGGAGAAATTGGGAACAACTAGAAGGAAATCTCCTGAGTGTGGTGCCCTCACCGCTAGGAGACGAGCTTTGTCCTTTCCTAAAGCGTTGGCGATTTTTTCCATGATCAGTTTATCCCAGTGGGACTGTTTGTGCTCTTTGGGAGGAGCTGGTCTACTGGGGGAGTCTTCAGGGATGTCCCACTGCATGGCTGCTTCAGTGAACCTTGAATCTTGAGCTCCTACCGCGTCTCTCAAGCGTTCGGGGACAGTCTTCTTGACTAATCCACTGGAAGCCAAACACGAAGACAGAAATGCAGGTAAAGCTACCTGCATTGCTTTGTGCACCCCTATACCTCCCAGTCGCACTGGGAGGGTTGCCTGATCCCATTGCCGATCCTCTAGTGACAGATTCAGTGCCTTCTTAAAGACTGATCTCAGGTGTGCGTCATATTCGTCGAGTGTTGGGCTGTCAAAAGAGGGTGCGCACCTCAGGAAATGAGTCTTGGCATAGTAAGACACCTTGTGAGGAGATACGGGGCATCAAGATCGTTTATTCTCTCCTCCATTCTCTTTAGGTCATTCAATTTGTCCTTAAGGACCGTGTCGATGGCCTGGTGACCCAGTGGTGCTCCCAAGAGGGTACTGTTGGATGGAATGGCACTAGAGACTTCCAGGAGGATTGTTCGCACAGCATTATTTCCTGGTTCGTTGTGATGACTTCACACTTGGAGGGATTGAGGATGAGTCCCAAGGCTTTTCCCTGTGTCTTCACCACTTGTAGGTCCTCCAACAGGGACTCTTCAGTACCTGCCAGAGTGCCATCATGCAGGTACCAGATGTTGAGCTCGCTGCATAGGCTGGAAGTTTGTTCTCTTACTGTCATGCAGAAGAGAAGTGGAGCGAGTGGATAAGCCTGCTGAACATCCTCTGATGAGGGAATGTCATGTTCGCCAAACAAAAGAATTGAGGGTTTGCTGCAGCTAGCTGAAATGAAGGAAAAGAGACTGGAGAACCGATCCCGAACGGCCGGCAAGACCACATCTCTCTTCGCCATATTAAAGGCATTTCTAAAATCAAGTTTGGCTACGGCCTTGTCTTCTGGTAGGTCCTTGATGTAAGCCCTTGCCGCATGAGCTGCAGCTTCACTGCCTTGAGAGACCCCAAAGCCCAGGTGGTGCGGCTGAAGTAAACTGGTAGCTTCTAGGCGAATGTTTCTTACTGCTGCTTTGGCAACGAGACGGCGAAGAGTGTTACCAACAGCAATGAGCAATGGGTCTGATTCCCCCATCCTTCTATATGGTAATGAAGTTCCTTGTTTAGACAGCAGGAGTAGAGACTCCTTCTTGCTCACCATAAGTAAGATTTTGACTGTTAAGGGAAATATTATTATCGAAGTGATATTTATATTTCATAAATTATTTCATATAATTAATAAGATTTAATGGTGTGCTGTCCCCAACAGGTAAGGCTGGAAGTGGAACCTCAGAGACCAAACACTGGAGCGACATGATTACCAAGCCTCGGCAAAATGTAGTCCAGTGGCATCGTCTCAAGCCAGAGTGAATGGGGCGTTGTGTGCCCCTCTCCCTCCCTGCCCCAGCTGCTGCTGCTACTACTGTTGCTGCTGCTGCTGCTGTTGCTGCTGCTGCTGCTGCTGCTGCCTAGGTGGCCACGAGACCAGTGTCAGGCGCTGCAGGGCTTCCCAACCGCTCAACTGTTGTTAATGAGGACCAGCGCAGAGTGACCACACAAAGAAGACAGTATCATGCAGTTAATATAGATGGCTTTATAAAAATCTTAACTGGGAATATAGTGCTGAGCATCGGGACATTATATGGCAGTTTTGTGTGTTTGTATGTACGTACGTGTGTACATGCACATTCATGTGCATGTACACGAGTGTTTATTTGTTTCTTTTGGCATGCATGCATTAGTGTGTTTATTATTTTTGGCACGTGTATTCACACATGCATGTGTGTGTACACGTACATGTGTTTGTCTGCAGATGTCACTGTTTTATGCCATATGTGCAACATGCAGCAGCAAGGCTGTGCCACCACCAGCTGTACTCACATGACCAGCTGCCTGAGTACCCTTCCTCTCCCCCCAGGCTAAAAAGTACCAGCACAGAGCGTAGCCATATGTCCTAGTGTAGGCCTGCTACCACACAGCTCGCCGCCTCCACCACACTACTGTACCACCCACCCGCAACTTTGTACTGTGCATACACGAAAAAAATAAAAAATAAAAAAATGTAATAAGATGGCATTGTGAGCATTATTTGCAGCAGTTTCATCCCTAAAAATTCAAATACCTCCCTTAAAACAAGAAAGAAACACATAGCAACCACAGGGAGACTGGAGAGAGATGCTTCATAGGTGGATCCCGGGGAGGTGGTGGGAGGTGGTGTGTTGAGGCCGCAGTGTGCGCCTTTGTGGCTTGGTGGAGTGCGCAGGGGACTGGGGGTGCCGCCCCATTTGTTCCTAGGTTTTATGACAGAAGACAAAAAAAAAGACATTAGCAAATCTACACATCATGTAGGATTTTACTGGTATCTTTAATATATGACAAAGCCAAAAGTACATCAGAATAATATACATCCCTAACTAAGAAGTACAGTTTGGTGATGGGAAATGCTTACCCTTAAAATATAATCTGAAATACCTAAAGATTTGGTCTTCTTGCCAATTTTTAATATAATTTCAGTGGTTTTTGTCGGGCATTCAAATCGGCAGCGGCATTTCCATACGTCTATGCATCTCCACTCAATGGTGTCGTAGTTAGCAGTGAAAGACTTTGTTAGGATTGGTGGTTCTAGCGAGCTGTTTTGAATTAATGTTTTCTAGAACCCAGCTGCGGGATTCATTTCATATTATTTGATAGACGATGGTCAGGTAGTTTACATTCAGATTCTTTTCTGGTATACTGTTTGTGATGGTAATATGTTTTGATTTTTAGTTGAGCAGAAATTATGTACAATACACCAGTATCTTGCCGTGAGTATCTGTAGCATCTCTTTGTAAAATATTGTAAATGTGGCTCAATACATACATACATATATACATTATATACATTATATATATATATATATATATATATATATATATATATATATATATATATATATATATATATATATATATATATATATATATATATATATATATATATATATATATATATATATATATATATATATATATATATATATATATATATATATATATATGAAACATTAGCTTAGTTAAGCAAAGCATAATCTGTCAAGTGATGAGCATTAACAAAGCAATGCTGAAAGGCTTATTGTCATGTGTTGCGAATGGGGTAATGAGTCTAACAGCATTGCTTTACCTGGCGCCCCTCGGCCTATGTGGCTTCTCCGATGCCCTCTACCTTAGACCAGTACAGGATGCAGGCTATGCTTTAGCCGAGACCCCCTCCTTCAGCAGTACCATGTATTTAACTCAAATTTAAGTCATTAGAATACAAGTCTCTTCACAGAGTGTGATATCAAGCTGAGTGTCTTCTGGGCTAGTGTTTCAATTTGTATTTGTGTGAAAGTGCTAATTGCTGGATGAGTAATTTTCTTCTGTTACAGAATGGTAAAACGATCATGTATATGCAGTTCTCATGCTATGAGCAAAGTAAATATTGTTTGTAAATGATCTTGTGATAGATATGATTTTCTTTTTAAAGTTAACTACTGACATATATATATATATATATATATATATATATATATATATATATATATATATATATATATATATATATATATATATATATATATATATATATATATATATATATAATATATATAAATATATATATATATATATATATATATATATATATATATATATATATATATATATATATATATATATATATATACTTATTACTAATATCATTGGCACACAATGTTTGCCTCTTAATTTATATTATTATAAAAGAATACTGAATATTTCCTTCAACATTTATTGCCTTAATCTGTACTTTAACATTCCCATATTTCAAAAAAAATTTATGTGATTTTCACTTACATAAAAGTAAACTTTTGTTGGGTAGATATAAAACATCTAAGTATCTTTATCATATATGACTACCACTCTGACAGGGAGGTGTCCCTGACCTGTATATCATTGATCTAATTATCCAGTTGTTCATCAAGCTTGGATTAGTTACGACATGTTTACACGTCTGAGAGATAATGATGCATTACATATTTATTATGCTATGCATTACATATTTGTAGAAATTATTTTTACAAATATAGTTTTGCCATTATATTTGACCAGTCATCGCATCTTTACAATGAAGTATCAAACAATCGATAAAATTGGCGAACTTATACATAAAGATTTTTTTTCTTTTTTTTTCAGTGAATAACTAAGACACTGGCTCCCTCGATCAGGAATACTGAAACTAAGAGCTCGATATTTTCGGGGCCAAGATAACTGAGAATCTAATGCTGACTCACGAAATCGTAATGACACAATTGCAAACAAACCATACCACAAACCAGTGGCTAACGCGTCGGTCTGGAGTTTTGTGACTCTCTGATCGCGGGTTCTAAACCCACCCGTGGTATGGTTTAATCTAATGTTCATGGATTTTGTTTGATAAGATCTCACGAAACTCTGATCCTGAGTCCTTAAGATCCAAAGACAAGAGATAAATAAAGCCATGTCATACATCTGGGTCTTGTTTCCCTAATATTTCTGTGTCTTTTGGTCTTCAATAACGAAAATTTGGGAGCATGAGAAATCTAAAAAATTTTAGGGTCCAGGAAGCCAAGATCCTGAAATAATAAGAACCTAATTTTATCGATAATTTAGAATCTTGGATAATTAAAATAATGATGACTTAGGTCATAGATAATCATACATCTTATTATTCACCTATTTAGAGTATTACAAAGTATTTCCGTTAATGGGGGGATAACCATCTTATACTGTAGAGATTCCTTAAGCCTTCTCGTTAATTGCAAGTTTTTTACTGTAGATTTTTATTTGTTGTGTTGACTCCAAGCAAGCGGTATAAATGGAATGAAGTCAAACTAGAGTTCTTATATAGAAATATGTAATCAATGTTTTTTCTATTTTCTACAGAAATATTTATATATATATATATATATCGGTTTAACACCAACCTTCATGGAAACTATAATATTGTTTACTGATAAATTAATTTGTTCTAGTATGTAGATTTAAATGCTACTTGTTATTAAGGAAGAGTTAGAAAATATGTGTTCACATGTTCTGTATTTATTACTTTTGACAAAAGATCAAGCTTTTTAGTAGCTTGACACAAATTCCCTTCGACAAGATCATGAAGTGATACGTAGCCTTAAGATGAAGACTCATACCATGTACTTGTTCAAAGGGACTTTGATTAGCTTGCTATGAATATCAGCTTATGTCTAAAGTGAACTGTTATAACTGATTCAAGTGTATAAACAAATGTCAAGGGATAGAAGGTGCAGAAGATATAGTCGGTTTGACATTTAACTTCCAGTAACAGACAAACACATAATAAGAATGTAAGATTATTGGTCAGTTCAGTTATTAAGTGTATGTCCAAGAGAAAGCGAGAATAGTCAATTTGGCTAAACCTAAAGCATCTTTCTGAGCCTATATACAAATTATATCAGCTTTATCTTTTGTCACCTGCTACTACGGATCACCGAGGAGGACCTCTGAACCAGATGTAGAATGGCATCATAGATGTATAACCTTTCTGATGCAGAACTTGAAGGTGTGAATTTATTTTGCTGCACTTGTATGCTGTATAGGGAAGATATCAGTTTACTGTAAAGGAAGAGAAGCAGGTGTATTTTACTTTAATTAAAAAGGTTTTGGTGTCCAACATATGTTTTGAAAAGTGAAAGCTAATTTATGCCTTGATGATCTAAGAATATATGTTATGAAAGAAGATGTAACATTACTTCAGATGTGTAGTAGTGTTTGTGGTGAACCTGACACCACCAGCAGTGATAACACTTGTGGCTTTCTCTGTAATTATTTTAAAGAGAGTACATTTTTGAATCGTCAGTGGGTGTAATTCACAAATGAAGTTGCTGTGAACAATCGGACACAATTTTGGGAAAACACACCAAAGAAATTGTAATTATTTTCAGATATGTATATAAAGAACTTATTTAAAATACATTTTAATTATATGAATAAAGTTCATGTGCTTTATATAAAAAAGTGACAGTACCTTCTGGGGGAGTGAAGGTATGCTGGCCAAGGTCAGAAACCACATTACCTTAAGTTTGCTGCATTTACATGTAGAGAAGATTTGTAATGAAGACAGAGGAGATGATGGCAACACTTACTCAAATTTCTGTCCTGCACAGACACTCAGTACATGCACATTCCACACTAGTTATACAACAAGAACACCACATGTGCATTAAACTTTTATACAATAAGATAAACACACACACACACACACACACACACACACACACACACACACACACACACACACACACACATACACACACAATACATATAACACACAGATGGTCACTATTTCATTAACAATCCCGGCGTTAAGAGTCGAGCTGTTGCATCACCTTACTCACTCACTCACCTTAGATAGAATACAGACCATCCACAATATTGTTTCAAAATTTGCCTAGATAATATTAACAGAATGCCCCGGACACTTATTCAAATGTTTCACTGTAGTAACAGGGTAGTGTCGATACCTTCTTTGTGATAACTTAATGTGTCATTCGGTTTGTAAGTGTAATGTATCATTCAGTTTGTATGATTAATACAGCATTTGGTTTGTAAGATTAATGTATCACTCAGTTTGTAAGATTAATGTGTCTTTCACTTTATAAAATTAGTATCATTGAGTTTGTAAGATCAATGTATCATTGAGTTTGTAAGATCAGTATATCATTCAGTTTGTAAGATTAAAACAGTAAACTAGTGAAAAGAAAGGCTGTTATAAATAATTTACTTGGGTTTTGTAAACATGTCTTCAGCAGTTTGTGTATTAATTAAGAAATATAAAACAAAAATTAAATTATATAATATTTTGTTGACAAAAATAACTTTTTTTTTAGAAATATACATAATGCCATTCAAAATTCCAAGGGTGTTGATGCGGTAAAGCAGCTTTACATGGTTTTAAATTTTTGTTTGGGTTTCTAATTTTCCTTGTGTTTTTGATGAAAACATTTTGCTGGTTTTGCTGGTTAGCATTTTCGCTGTATAGATGGCAGGTAGTGTCATTTGTCACTGGCTGGCACACCCTTTACGTTACCTGGTAAGATTATACCGTAACCTTCACTGTGTCTGGGGCATCTTGCAAAGTGTAAGTCTGTTGACAGTGGTCTGTGTCCTTCTTCCTAGCCACCAGAATCTGCCTTCACTTAACTTACCATTCGCACAGGGCAGCTATTGAACATTTTTGGGGAAAGATATTTTGCTGTTTATAGTTGTAATGTAGTAACTTCGCAGGCAACCAACGAACTTTTACAATCTATTTAGTATTTGGCTCCGAAAATACGTTTTCAATTTCCGAGAAAATGTGTTTTATCTAATTTACTTTGAACCCGCATCAGATATTCATACTCTTGTGTTCAGTAAATAACTGCACACTCACATTTTTGGGTGAATCCAAAGAGCTGGTCTCCTGGAGTTATGTGTGTCTATAATGTCTTCTCCCACTCTCCTTGATGTGCAGGTTGTCCACTTGCTGCAGAAACGTAAAAAAAAAATTAGATGTACACTTGTAGAATTATTGGCCATTAAGATATCTGTGTGTAGCGTGTTTTGCTGGCCCCCTCTCATATTCTGAAATACATTTTTCTTTTTTCATTTTATGTTCTTTAATCACTCTCTTGATACATAAGGAGGCATTAATGACGAAAAAAAATAGTATGTAAGTTATTACAGAATGTTTACTATGAAATTTGACAAATAATCGTTATTAAAATAGCATCAGAGGGTGTGAATGAGAAATGCACTCCTGGTTCTATTTAGTGACAGTGTTTTGACACCGTAATAGCAGACGGGATGTGAAAATACATTCCAAATATTTTCCACA